GGTTGGGGAGGGGGGGGTTCAGTCCTGGGGAGAAGGTGGAGGGGTGGATCTGGGCTCTCCTAGAGATGGAAGAGGAGGAAGAGGAAAAGGAGGAAGAGGGGGACAAAGAGAAAGAGAAGAGAAAAAGGACAAAGAGGAGGAGGAGGAAGTGGAGGAAGAGCAGGAAGAGGAAGAAGAGGAAAAGGAGGAAGAAGAGGACAAGAAAGAGAAAGAGAAGGAGGAAGAGGAGGAAGAGGAGAGAAGAGGAAGAAGAGAAAAAGGACAAAGAGGAGGAGAAGGAAGTGAGGAAGAGGAAAAGGAGAAGAAGAGGACAAGGAGAGAAAGAGAAGGAGGAAGAGGAGGAAGAGAGGGCAAAGAGAAGGAGGAAGAAGAGAAAAAGGACAAAGAGGAGGAGGAGGAAGAGGAAGAGGACAAGGAAGAGAAGAGGAGACAAAGAGAAAGAGAAGGAGGAAGAAGAGAAAAAGGACAAAGAGAGGAGGAGGAAGAGGAAGAGAAAGAAAGAAGAGGAGGACAAAAAAGAGAAGAGGAAGAAGAGAAAAAGGAGAGGAGGAGGAGGAAGAGGAAGAGGAGGACCTAGTGATGCCTGCAGGGAAGCCCCCAGAAGAGCCAGGAATCCCCTCCAGATGAACTCCAGACCACCAAGAGGGCGCCAGGTTGGGGGAAGAGAAAAGTCCTCGGCTGGGACCGGCCGGAGCCTTCTCCAACCTGGCGCCCTCCAGATGGGCTGGCTTGCCTCTCTTTGCCTGCCCTTCCTCCTCCCCTTCCCCGGCCAGCCAGCCAGTTGGGGATGATGGGTGGGGGAATACAAGCCCCCCCACCACAACCACCACCCGAGACAGCAAAAAGGAAAAGCCTTTGAGGAAATATTTATTGGCCATAAAACTGGATTTTTGGGTGCCACAAATGAAAGCGTTGGGGGGGAGAGGGGGGCCGCTGCCAGGAGCCCCCTCTACGGTGGGGGGGAAAGCTTTCAAGCTGCCCCATTGGGACTTTTTAGGGTTTCGGGGGCTGCCAATCCGGGGATGTTGGCTTTTACCCGGCACACACGAGCTCACTGCAGGGACACTCACGTCGTGAACACGCGCCACGCATCCACACGCGCGCACACACACATATACTCACACACGACACGTACCCACGTAGGGAGGGACGTCAAAAGGAAGGCAAGCGGGGTGGGCCAGCCTCCCACCCCCCCAAGGGCCCGCGGACCCCCCCTCCTTGGGAAAGGAGCCAAGAGGCACCCCCAGACCCATCTGCCACCGCCTCCCCCCCCCCGAGCCTCTGCCGCCCCCTCCTCTGCCCTACCAGCCCCCACCCCCCCACCCGGTGTTACTACGCGGCCGTAGGATGGAGCCAGGGGGAAATTGGGGAGGTGGGGGGGAGAGCCCTGAATCCCCCCCTCTCTGCCTGGAAAGCTTCCTCTCTCGGCACATCTGGGCATTGGGGGGTTGGGGGGTGGGATGCAAGCCGAACCAGCCGCCCCTCTTGCTCTGCTCTTCCCGCCTCGGAGGCTGGGGCGGAACCCCTCCTTCTCCCCCCACCCCCCGCAGAGCCATTCACGATGCTGGGGGTCCCCAAGGCTTGCAAAGAGGGGGAGGGGGAGAGAAAGGGGCAGTGCGGCTTCTGCTCAGTCCTCCGACCCCCCCCCCCCAATTTTGGGGAAGGAACAGAAGAGGGTCCCCACCCGCAGGCCCGTGGGGGTGGGGGGGGAGAGAGCCAGGGATGGCTCCGGGTTCTGCTGGCTGCAGGAATCGTGCCTGGCACAAAGACCCCTCCCCTTCCCCCTTCCCTTCCCTTCCAGGCATCCCTCCCTCCCTCTCCCTCTCCCCCCCCCCGCCCCAATCTCCATCAACCCCCCCCCCTTACCCCTCCAGATGTGCCTTGCTCCCGTTTTGCGACTTGGAGCCCCGGCAGATCGGGAGGGTGCGGAGCGGGCCTGGGAGGGGAGGGGAGGGGAGGGGGCTGCCTGCCTGCCTTCCGCCCTTCCTTTCTCCCCCTCCCCGCTGCTTCCCAGCTGACGGCTCTCTTAGCAACAGCCAGTCAAGGGCCAGGCTTTGGGTAGGGGGGCAGCCTTCCCCACCCCATCAGTCCCAGTCAGGAGCAGATAAGACTACCCTCAACACCGGGGCCGGAAGGTGGGGGGGGAAGGAGGGGAAGGGGGGGGTTCCCCTCTTTCCAGAATGTCTGAGCTTCCCAGCCGGTGGGGCTGCTCACAGCACTGCCCCCTGCCCAGAAATCAAAGCCCCCTACTCTCTCTACCACAGCTCCCTTTCCCCCCCCCCTCCAAATTCTGGAGGCCTCCAGAGGCCAAGTACAGATAAAAGACCCTTCCCCAGTGAAGCACTTAGAATCTGGGCTGCAAAGCTTTGGGATCAGAGCCCCCTTCCCCCCTTTTTTAAGCCCCCACCCCAAAAAACATCCTTTTGCAGTCTTAAATCAAAAAGAGGCAGGCCTCCTCCAGGCCTGGGGGGGCTACTACACAGCCCATAAGTCCTGCCAACTTCCCTATTATTCGTTCTTCCCTCTGCCTCAAGAGGGGTTTTTTGGGGGGGGAAACATTGCCCATAAATGTCTACTCAGGCTATGCTCAAATAGCCCACCCCCCTTATTTTATTCAATCGACTTGGTGGGGTTGGGGGAACACTGGTGGAGGAAGGGGGGGGAACCGAAGCTTCCTTGGCTTAAAGGGCCACCCCAATTCAAACCACATGAGTACAGACTGGGAGGGGGTCTCAGGGCCCCCCTCCACCTGTTCCCCCTCCTCCCTTGTGAGAAACTGCTGCTTCCAGATGGGTTGGGGGCCACAAATCCCAGCATCCCCAGCCAGGCTGGCTGGAAAGGCCTGGGCCTGGTGGGAGATTGGGGGGGGGGGTTCCTCTCCAATGGACCAGGCCCCAAATAGCACATGGTCAGGAACCAGAAATCCAGAGCGCTCCATCCGGCCCAAAAACCTTGGCCCCGTTTCCTTCATCAGCCCGTTTCGGGGGTCCACCCCGCACACACTGAACCCCCTTTATTGACCTATGCTTGTTATTTATTTATTTTTATTTATTTCCCCATCCGTTAAATTTCGGAGTCCACACCCTGCAACTCACCCGATCACAAAACAAAATTTATTATCATTTTTTTTTTTTTGCAAGTCCCATTTTTGGAACATGTGCTCAATTAGACTTCCTTGAGGCCTGGAAGAGAGGAGGAGGTGTGTGTGTGTGGGGGGGGGAGATAAGAGAAGCTGAAGGCTCCGAAGCCCCCTCCCCAGACAGAAAGAGGGTCTGATCTCCAGGGTGGCTTGGCCCTTTCAATTTGGGGACATTCCCCCCCCCCAATTTCCTCACAATTTCTAGAGAAGGATCCCAGAAGCGTTTCTGAAGGGAATGGATTCAATTCTTTATACTTGGCAGGCCTTGAACCCAGGACCACCACCGGTTCCCAGAGTCCTTGTAAATGGGCCGCGCTCCCCCCCCAACTAAAATTGAGCTTGAGAATGAAGTCCATTAGTTTCTACAATCAGGACACAAGGGGGGGGGAGGGATTCCCCCTCCACATCCCCACTTAGTCTTTCTGCCCCCCACCCAAGCTAGAATCTCTTAAAAGTGGGGAGGGGGATTTTCTGTCTGCTTTGCCCCCCACCCCCAAGGGCCCAATCCGAGATTTTGCACCCAAGAAAGCATGAAACAGTCTAATCCTCTTTCCTAGGGGCAAAAGAGGCCTGGGGAAGGAGGGGGGGGTCATCTTTGGACAGGATTAAGAGGAGCCCCCTCCCCAGTGGCAAGGGCTTCCTCATCATGGGGGGGAGACTCCTTCTCTGCCTCTGACCCCTCTCCCCACACCTGCCCCTCCCCCATCTTTCCAGGAATAGCAAACCCCATCTAGAGATGGGCAGGGGGGTGTTTCCAGATTCCCCCCTCCCTTGTAACATCCCCACAAACCCCACCTGCTCTTTTGGGGCTCCAGAAGCCCCCAACACACATACACACACAACAGGCCTTGCTGCTGCTGACTCCCCCCCCCCAAGCCAGCCATCTCTCCCCCCTACCAGCTCTGCCCTCCCCTTCCCTCTGCCTCCCTGTCTTTGATCGCAGCTGCTCTTTCCCCCACATCCCTCTGCCCCCCAAAATGCCCTCCTTCGCTCTGCCCCCTTCCCCACCGCCAGGGAGTGAAAAGAGCGGTGGGGGGGGTTCGCTTTGCCAGGCAGAGTGTTGTATGTGTCAGCACCTCACTCACTGCGCCCCCCTCCCCAAGCCACGTTCAGCCTCCAGGGAACCCAAAGTGTGGGGGGGAGAACAGGGGACGGGGACAAAGCTGGCTCCGGGTGCGAGGGTGGGGAGGGGGCCCCCCAAGGATGGGAGAGGAGCCGGACAGCTGCCCAGGTGTCCGCGCGGGAGGTGCAGCAAAATGGACGGAACAAACCGGCAGCTGGGTGAACTGGAAAAGCGGGGTGGGGGTGGGGGAGCATCCGAAAGGGATGGAGGGAAGGAGCCATCATTGCAGGAGGGAAAGGACGGTGGGTGGGTGGGCTTCAGGATTTCAGGAAAACCACCTGCCCGCAGGGAAATCTACCGGGGTGGGGGGGAAGAGAGGGAGAGCAGACTTTCCTCGGTTAGGAACGATGGTGTGGGATGGGGTGGGGGGGAGGGCGAGGGAAGGGCTGCCCTGATTTGGGGAGTGGGGGAGGGCGGCGCGTGGAAGGAGCACTTGGGGCCTTGGCCCCCTCCCCTCCCCTCCCCTTCCCCCCTCCCCAATGGCTCCAGGCCAGGGGGGATTTCGGAGCTGGGGATGGATGGATGGATGGATGGATGGATGGATGGATGGAGGGGGAAGGGAGGGGGGGTCCAGCCTGCGAGAAGCAGGAGAGATGCGGATTTGCGGAGAGAGGCGGGGGGAGAGAGGCAGAGATGGAGAGGACCAAGGATGCGAAGCGCGATGCCAGCGCCGGGGAGAGTCGGGGGTCCCTCGCTCGCTCGCTCGCTCGCCCACCCACCCAATCGGGGGATGCTTACCGGCCTTAGCAGGAGGAAGAGGAAGATGAAGAAGGGGAGGAGGAGGAGGGGAAGAAAGAGCCGCCGCGCCGCCGCCGCCGCCGTCTCTGGGCTCCGCGCTCGCCGGCCGGGTCTCGGGGTGCAGCCGCCGCGCGGGGCTCTCCGCCTCCGCCGCCCTCGACGCGCGCTGGCCGCATCCTGGGGGGAGGGCGCGGGCGCGGGCGCGGGAGGAGGCGGCTCTCAGCCGAAGGCCATGGGGGGGGGGGGGAAGGGGCCGCCGAGACCCCGAGGAGCCGAGCCACAGATGCACCGGCCGCCACGACCCCCGCCGCCGCTGCTCCAGCCGCCCGCCCGCCCGCCGATGATGCTCCGCTCGCTCGCTCGCCTGCCTCGCCCACCTCCCGCATCAGCGGCCGCGTCAGGGCGGGGGGCGGGAGCCGCGCGGGGGGCGGGGGGAGGAGGGGGGGGGGGGGGGGGAAAGAAAAACCCGGCCCCCCCCCCCAGTAGCAGGGCCCGCGGCCGAAGCGATTGAGGAGGGGGCGCCGCCGGAGAAGGGCGGGGGGGGCGCGAGGAGTCGCGCAGGCCGGACCCCCCCCCAAGTGGCAGGGACCCCTCTCAAGGCCGAGGGGGGGGAGAAGAAGCGGAAAGAACCCGGGCCCCCCAGGGGGGGGGGCCCCCCCCCCCCCCCCCCCCGTTCAAGGCCAGGGAGACCCCTCTGGACGCAGGCAAAGAGATTGAGGAGGGGACGCCTCTGGGGAAGGGGGGGCAGCCACGCAGGCCAGACCCCCAAGTGGAAGGACACCCCCTCAAGTCCGAGAGGTGGGCGAAGAAGCGGAAAGAACCCAACCCCCTGCCCAAGTGGCAGGGCAGCCCCCCTCAAAGTGAGGGAGACCCTTCTGGACATAGCCAAAGGGATTGAGGAGGGGGCGCCTCTGGAGAAGGGTGGGGGCGCAAGGAGTCACACAGGCCAGACCCCCCCAAGTGGCAGGGCCCCCCTCAATGATGAGGGGTGGGCAAAGAAGCAGAAAGAAGACAGACCCCCAAGTGAGAGGCTGGCCCCCCATCCTCAAGGCCGGGGAGACCCTTCTGGATGGGGCCAAAGGGATTGAGGAGGGGGGAGGCCTCTGGAGAAGGGTGGGAGGGCACGAGGCAGACCAGTCGTGCAGTCCGGACCCCCATGTGGCGGGGGGGGAGGAAGGCTCCCTTAAGGCCGAGTAGCCCCTCCTTGACAAGGACGGAGCAATTGGGGAGGGTCTCAGCTCCCAAAGGGACACCCAGACCCTTCCCTAGGCTGGAGGACCAGGTTTCGGTGTGGGGGAGGGGTTTACGGGCACCTGAGTTGGGGGGGGGTGGGCCAGGGGCGGAATCGGGCACACTCTGCTGATGGGGGGGGGTTGAGGGTCTTCTCTGTTAGGGGGCCCTGAGCATCAATTGATTAATCCGACCCATCGATTGCTGGATATAAATCCACCCAGCTGGATGAAGACCCCACATCTGGTAAGAAATCTGGCCCCTCCCCCACCCCCCACCCCCATCCCAGACCTGGTGCCCCCACCATTCTGCTTCCAGAACGCAGCATGGGGGATTCTGGGAGTTGTAGTCTCCAAAGCGTCCATGTTGGTGGCCCTCCAGCCTTCTGAAAGAACGGAAGCCCACCTGCCTCCAAGGTGAAGATGGGGGCTTGTTTTCTCAGGCTACGTTCCGAATAGATGCATTGTGGCTTGTTGAATAAGCCACCGTTGTCCACCCGCGATCCTAAACCCATCAATCATGGCTTATCTCGCCTGGTGAAATTCAAGTAGTAGGCATCAGGTGCTGGGTCTAAGTAGGCCAAGACAGAATGCAGAATATTAGACTTGGAAGGGACCTCGGAGGTCTTCTAGTCCAGCCCCCTGCTCAAACAGGAGACCTGATGCCGTTTCAGACAAATGGTTCTCCGGTTTTTTCGTAACAACCTCCAGCGATGGAGCACCCACAATTTCTGGTGGCAAGCAGTTCCACTGATTAATTGTCCTCACTGTTAGGAAATTTCTCCTTAATTCCAGGTTGCTTCTCTTCTTGATTAGTTTCCATCCGTTGCTTCTTCTCCTGCCTTCAGGGGCTTTGGAGAATAGGTGGACCCCCTCCTCTTCTTTGGGGGAGCCCCTCAAATACTGGAAGATGTCTACATGTCACCCCAGGTCCTTCTTTTCGTTAAACGTCACATCCCCAATTCCTGCAACCGTTCTTCGTATGTTTTCGCCTCCAGCTCCCCTCATCCTCTTAGTTGCTCTTCTCTCTTGCGCAGCTGAAGACTTGAAGCCCCCCTCCCCTTTGAACCCACGGTTTGAAGCCCCCTCCTCACCTGCATTTTGATGTGACATCCTTGGAACCTGTGAAGACGGTGGAGAAGTTCCCGCGAGCAGAATGTTAAAAAGAATCACCCAACATCCTCTTGCATCTTATTTATTAAATTTATTTATTTCTTAAATTTATACGCCGCCCCTCTCCGGAGACTCAGGGCGGTTGGACTGTCGCCTTCTGACAACAATAGATTCCAGCTCCCATCATCCTCGGCCGCTAAATATCTCGCTTCTAGTTCTGCCAAAATAAAGGGTGAGAATTGGGGGGGGGGCACACAATCAACCCCACCAAGCTGTGACGGTGGGCATCCTCGTGGTAGGCACAGCGTGGAGCCCATGCTTAGAATTCGTTGTGATTTGAGGTGGTCAAATTGCAAGAATCCGGCGATCGGGGAGGGGAGCTCTGGCAAGGAGCCCTTCCACACCCGCCCGTGGGTTGGTACGGCATTTTGTCTGCAGAGGGGAACCCCAAAACAGCCAGAGGTGAGCTCCACCACGGGCCAAACCTACTTAACCTTCTGCTGAAGTCCATCAGGTCTGATAACGGCACAGAGTTTCCTGCTTAAGCAGGGGGTTGGACTAGATGACCTCCAGAGGACCTTCCAACTCAAGATAAATCCACAAGGCTGGTTTTGGTGGGAGGGGACTGCTGTTGAGTGAACGGCCTCCTGGGAAATTTGAAGGTGGGGGCAAGGAGGGGGGGTGGGGGCTGAAAAACACCTGATGCCCCCCCCTCCCAGAATGTGTCCGATCCATGGACAGCCTGACCGCCTCCCTTCCAAGGGAACCAGGGAGGCTTTGCCCCAACAGCAATCCTTGACTTACGACCGCCATTGAGCCTCCCCCCCCCACATTTCTGTTGCTAAGAAAGAGGCGGTTGCTAAGTGAGTTTGGTCCCATTTAACGACTCGCTTGCCTTAGCAGTTGTGAGTTAAGTGAGCCCGGCTTCCACACGGACTTTGCCTGTCGTAAGGTCGCAAAAGGGGGATCGCGTGACCTCCAGGATGCCGCCACCGTCATAAATGCGAGTCAGCTGCCGAGTTTCTGAATTTCGGTCACGGGGGTGGGGGTTGCTGCAACGTTTGTTAAGTCTGAAAAGTTACGGCCCTCGGTCTCTTTTTTTCAGCGCCGTTGTAACTTTGAAACGGTCCCTAAACGAACGGCCGTAAATTGAGGAGTCGCCGTGTTAGGGTCTCGAACACAAGAGACACGAACCCGATGCAAATTTGATCCGAAATGCAGTTCAAGGTAGCCTGGTGGCTCAGCAGACTGATAGCATTGTGATTAACTCCAGCTGTCTGCAATTACTGCAGGTTCGAATCTTACCAGGCTCAAGGTTGACTCAGCCTTCCATCCTTTCTAAGGTAGGTAAAATGAGGACCCAGTTTGTGGGGGAAATAAGCTGACTTTGTATAAATATACAAAAGGATGAAGGCTATTGCTTAGCACATTGTAAGCTGCCCTGAGTCTCCGGAGAAGGGCGGCATATAAAAATAAATTTAAGAAAAACAAAAAAGGAGATTTTGGAGCAAGATTTGAGGCCAGGTTTACTGGGGGGGTGGGGGGAAGTAAGCCCCCCCAAGAGAGGGGGTGTGGGGGAGGCTAAACAAGAGGGGATGGAGGTACCCCCCCCCCTTTGTCAAAATCAATACACCCCACTTCAACAATAAAGCAAAGTTCCTTCTAGTCATAACTGTTTCCAGACCTGGCCTACCTTGCAGGTGGAGACAATTTGGAAATTATACACACGCACTCACTCACTTACACACACACCGGGAGAGAGAGAGAGAAAGAGAGAGAGAGAGAGATCTTCATCCTTCTCCTTCTGCTCCTTTCTTCCTTCCACTCCTCTTCCTCTCCTCCTTCTCTTCCTACTCTTCATCCTTCTCCATCCCTTTTTCTCCTGCTCCTTTCTTCCTTCCTTCTCTATCCCTTCTCCTGCTCTTTCCCTTCCTCTCCTCCTTCTCCTCCTCCTCTTCATCCTTCTCCATCCCTTTCTTCTCCGGCTCCTTTCTTCCTTCTTCTCCTCCTTCTTCCTCTTTCTCTCCTCCTCCTCCCTCCTTCTCCTCCTCCTTCCTCTCCTCTTCCTCTCCTCCTTCCCCTTCTCCTTCTCTTCCTTCTTTCATCTTCTCCTTCTCTTCCTTCTCCTGCTCCTTTCTTCCTTCCTCTCCTCCTTCTCCTCCTCCTCTCATCCTTCTCCATCCTTTTTCTCCTCCTTTCTTCCTTCTTTCTCTTCTTCTCTTTCTCTCCTCTCCTGCTCCTTTCCTCCTCCTTCTTCCTCTTCTTCCTCTTCTCCTCCTCCTTCCTCCTTTCTCTCCTTCTCTTCTCCTCCTTCTCCTGCTCCTTTCTCCTTCCTCTCTCCTTCTCCTCCTCTCTTCTCCTTCTCATCCCTTCTCCCTCCTTTCTTCTTCTTTCTCCTTCTTCCTCTTCTCTCCTCCTGCCCTCCTTCTCCTCCTCCTTCCTCTCCTCTTCCTCTCCTCCTTCTCCTCCTCCTTCTCTTCCTTCTCTTCATCCTTCTACTTCTCCATCCCTTCTCCTCCTGCTCCTTCCTTCCTTCTTCTACTCCTTCCTCTCCTCCTCCTCCTCTCTTCCTGCTCCTCCTTCCTTTTTCTCCTTCTCCTGCTCCTCCCCCCTTCTTCTCCTTCTTCCTCTCCTCCTCCTGCTCCTCCTCCCAAGGAGAGATCCAGTCTTCGCCTTGCAAACAGCTCCAGGGTGCGGCAGGGTCAGATCCAAGAGATCCAGCTCCTGTTCTGAGCCTTGTCCTCCCCATCTACTGCCCCACCTCCCCACAGCAAGCCCCCCCCTCCCCATTTCCCTTTCCCCCAGAGTTGCCTTGCCCTGGATAATCGCTTCCCGAGGCCGAAGCTGGCAACCTGGATGCAGGCTGGGCCGATCTAATTAGCAATTAGGTTCTTCTCACCTCTTTGGGCACCACTCCTACCTTCCTCTCTTCCTGCCCTGCTGCCTCCCCCCCTCCACACACACACAAGCCAAGACCCCAGTGCCCCCCCTTCTCCAGCTGGCATAGTTCCAACCTTCTCCCTGGGCACCCTGGCACCTCATCAGGTGGGCAACCACGAGGGCTCTTTGCTATCTGGCAGGACCTGTTTGTGTAGCCCTTACCTGGCCCACAGGTGTGGAAATGATGGGGAGAAGATTATGGCTTTGACCTCACTCCCACCCCACCCAAAGCCCCCCCCCCCTGAGCTCATCTGGGTTTGAAAATCCCCACCAGCACAAAAAAGAAGTGTGTAGAAAATGTGTGTAAGCAGACGATTGTGCCAAGCGTTTTAACCTCGATGCCTCTGCCCAGAATTTAAACCTGGCATTTTGCCTCCGGATCTGTCCGGGGAGGGAATTAAAGGGCAGAAAAGTCAAATAATCATCAGTTACGCCCTTTGTCAGGAGTTCTTCCCTTGAGCTCATCGGGGATTTAGTTTTACACCCAAACCAGGGAAGGTTTAAAGCAGGAGTGCCACTTTTAAGACCTCTGGACTTCAACTCCCAGAATTCCACAGGCCTTAAAGGGACCAAGACTGGATTTTAAAGGATAGGAGCCCTAAAAAAACAGCAACCCCATTTTTTTACCGAGGCAGGAGTTGAAACCTAAAAAATAATACAGATAGTCCTCGACTTACAATGGTCCATTTAGTGACCGAACTGACAGTAGCGCTGAAAAAAGGGACTTACGACCGTTTTTTACACTTAGCGACCGTTGCCGCATTCCCTTACTTGGGGGATCAAAATTCAGACACTTGGCAAACCGCTTCCTATTTGTGAAGGTTGCAGCGTCCTGGGGGTGGGGGTGTCACGCGATCCCTTTTAGCGACCCTCCGACAAGCAAAGTCAATGGGGAGAGCCCAGATTCCTTTAAGGATGGGGTTACTAACGGCAAGTGACTCGCTTAACAACAGTGGCCGGGAAAGTCGTACAGTGGGGCAAAGTTCACTTAGCAACCGTCTGGCTCAGCCATGGAAATTTTGGGCTCGCTCGTGGTTGTAAGTCGAGGACCAGCTGTATAAAAATCTTACGGCTGGGAGCGATGGGAGTGAGAGTCCAGGGCTTCTTGAGCGGGGATAGTTGTGCAAAGGGGACGGAGATTGTGGGGAGAGCCTCAACGGGGAGGGGGCAGATGCAGGACCTGCGAAGGGTCCGATCGAGGCCAAGCCCACCCAGCTGGGGGCTCCTTGTGCTCTTTTGGCAGAGATGGGGAGGGGAAGGCTGAGGGTCACACACCTTGCAGGTATGGGCTTGGATTGGGGAGGGGGGATATTGCATCATTTTAACTGTTGGGGTGGGGCGGAGAGGAATCAGTTCTCTGGGGCCGAAAGGCTTGGGGGGGGGGGGCTTCGGAGGGTGGTCCCAGCCAGGGGTGACATTTGCAGTGGGTGGATCTTGTAAATTCTCCTGCTTCTATCTGGCAGCCTGGTGGCGCCATCTGGTGGCAGAGTGTGTGGGGAGGGGGGGGCTCTGGGGCGGTGGGGGGGAGGACGACTGTGGGAGCCAGAGAGGCAGGAAGGGAGGCGGAGGAATGAGAAAGGAGGAGGGAGGGAGGGAGGGAAGGGAGAAGGGAGAAAAGGAAGGGAGGGATGGAGGGAAGGAAGGAGAGAAAATGGAGAGAGGGAGAGAGAGAGGAAGGAAGGAAAGAAGGAAGGAAGACATAGAAAAGTGAAGAGCAGGAAGGGAGGGAGGGAAAGAAGGAGGGAAGGGATAAAATGGAGAGAGGGAGATATAGAAAAGGGGGAGGGAAGGAAGGAAGGAGGGAGGGTTAGATGGAGGGAAGAAAATGGAGAGAGAGAGATAGAAAAGAGGGAGGGAAGGAAGGAGAGAAAATGGAGAGGGGAAGGAAGGAAGATGAGAAAAAGGGAGGGAGGGAGGGAGGGAAGGGATAAAATGGAGAGAGGGAGGGAGGGAGGAATATAGAAAAGGGGGAGGGAGGGAGGGAAGGAAGGAGGGTTGGATGGAAGGAAGGAAGAAAATGGAGAGAGAGAGATAGATAGAAAAGAGGGAGGGAAGGAAGGAGAGAAAATGGAGAGAGGGAGGAAGGAAGATGAGAAAAGGAAGAGAAAAGGAAGGAAGGAAGATAGAGAAAAGAGGGAGGGAGGGCAGAGGAAGGAAGGAAGGTATAAAAAAGGGAGGAAGAGGGAGGGAGGGAAGGAGAAGGAAGATGAGAAAAGGAAGGAAGGTAGATATAGAAAAGAGCGAGGAAGGGGGTGCAGGTTGTGTGAAGGGGTCAACGGAGACGAAAGAGGGAGGGGGGCACCCAGGGGCTCAGGAGGGAAGGCTGCCCCCCCCACCAGCCCCCCCAAGCCTCCTCCAGCTCACAATCCCTGGGTGTGTGTGTGTGTGTGTGGGGAAGGCTGGGTTGCATCACAAACCCTGCTTGGGCCAGCCCCTCCAGGGCTCTCTCACCCCACCACCCCTGCCAGGGCCAGCAGCAGCCCCTGTGCCAAGCGGAGGGGGCAGAGGGGATGCCTGGCTCAGGCGGCCAGCTCCCGGCCGAGGTGCCTCGCCCATGGGGGACACCAGCCTCCTGTGCCACCCACCCCCCGAGGGCTGCTGCCTGGAGCTCCACGAGACCGTGGCCGTCTTGCTGGCACTGATCGTGGTGGTGCAATTGGCCCTCAAGCTGGCCACCGTGGTGAGGGGCCCCTGGGGGCCCGGGGATGGACGCGGGAGGCCTCAGGCTCCAATGGGGGGGGCTTGGCTTGGGGGGGGGCTGTTGGCAGTGGGGGGCAGGCACCGAGTACGATGGAAAGAGTTAAGGTGGCACCCACAACGGTTCAATCCAATCCTCAATTTATGACCACAACGGAGTCCAGAATTTATGTCGCTAAGCGAGACAGTTCTGAGTTTTGCCCCGTTGTACGACCTTCCACGCCACAGTGGTTCAGCGAATCACTGCATTCGTTAAGCGAGCGACATGGTTGTTAAGCGAATCCAGCTTCCCCATGGATTTTGTCAGATAGAAGGTCACAAAAGAGGATAGCGAGACACTCCCCCCCCGCCCAGGATGCTGCAACCGTCATAAATATGAGACAGTTGCCAAGCATCCGAATGTAAATCACACTGGGGATGCTGCAACGGTCGTAAGCGTGAAAAACGATCATAAGTCCCTTTTTTCAGTGCCGGCGTAACTTCGAACCGTCACTAAGCGAAACCATTGTAAGTCGAGGACTACTTCTACTACAGGTTCCAGTCTGTCTGTCGTAGGAGTCTATAGATGATTGGTGGGGGGGGTGTACCCCATGGGAGTTGTAGTCCTGTCCAAGAACAGGACTCATAGTTTCAGAGCCCAATTCTGCCGAATTTTTCACCTTGATTTTTTTTTTGAGTTGGGTGTGAAAAAGTCTGTCTTTCCGGCATTTTTAAATGATGCTTTCTAGCTGTTTTTTTTTTTTTAACTTTCTGCTTTTATTCACATATTTTTATATGGTTTTCTCAACCACCCAGAGTCACTTATAGATGGGACGAGCGGTGTAGACATTAAATGAATAAATACACAGAGAAACCTCTGGCCCTTGGTTTATTATAAAATTTATGGATTAAACTCCCTCCCTCTTTCCTCCCTCCCAGATCTGCTATTACTTCTGCTGCTTCGTGAGGAACCTGTGCGGAGGGCAGGCTGCCACCAAAGGTGAGGAGGGGGGATTGATGGCAGAAACTGGGGAGTTGGGGGGCGGTCGGCGTGGAACAACTTCCCTTGAAATGTTTTTGAATATTAGTAAAGTATAAAATTAATTCATTGAGGGGTGCCGTAGCCTGGAGGTGGCGCTCTCGCCTCCCAATCAGGAGGCCGTGAGTTCGATCCTAGGTAGAAGCAGATATTTCTCTCTCTGGGCACAATGAGAATATATCTGCCGAACAAAACTCCTCATTGGCGACAGGAAAGGCATCCGGCCAGTAAAACACTCAGCGCCATTCAGTTGCCCAGACTTCACCCCGATGCAAGGGATTATGGGGTCATTAAAAGAGGATGATATAAATGAGTGATGGCGAACCTTTTTGGCACCAAGTGCCCAAACCGGAACGCTAGAAACCCAAAAACCAGCTCACTGGTGCACTCACGCCTGCTTTTTGGCCATTTTTCAAGCCATTTTCAAGCCGTTTTTTGGGCTGTTTTCAGCTTGTTTTGGGGGCCAAAACCAGCCTGAAAATGGCCCAAAAAAGGCCCAAAAAAGGCCTGAAAAAACAGCCTGCATTTTGGGCAGTTTTGGGGCCGTTTTCAGGCTGTTTTCCGGTGCTTCGTGAAAGACCAGAAAAGCAGCTGGCGACGGCACACATGCCCACAGAGAGGGCTCTGATGCCACCTCTGGCACGCGTGCCATAGGTTCTGTTAAGGAATTCGCAGAGTAACCTTTGAGTAGCAAGGGTGTGCACATGAAAGCGACTGAGAGTAGTTACGAATAAACACAGTCAACACACAGATACACTGAGTTGTGTTTACTTTCAGGAAATAGTAAGGCACAGTCCAATAAACAGTCCGGGTCATACACATATAAAGCAGGAGATAGCAAAACGACAGTCCAGGGATAATCCAATAACAAAGTCTTCTTATCAGTCATCGCAGTCATTCACAATAAACAGTTCTTCTGGATTTGCATGCAGAGCTATCAGAGAGCAAGAACAGCAAAGAGAAAACAAACCATGTTTCTAGCTCCCTCTTAAGGACAGAGCTAACCAATCAGGACACGGTATGATGCAATACGGCAGTCTTAAAGCTACATTGATGGTTTATATATTGCTAACCCAACAAGTTAGGTAACAGTCACGTCCTAACAGGTTCGCCATCACGGATATAAGTAATTTAGCCTTTACTTCCTGATGCCACCCTGAACCTTGGGGGTGGCTCTCACCTCCTTCCAAAATTAACATTTTGAATTTAAATTTAAAAAAAAATAAAACATGGACCCACGATTGAATGGACTCTGGGCCATCCAGTTGGTGAGGCTGCGGAGGTCTCCTCCAGCAGGTTCTCTTCTCAATCTTGTCCTTCAGCTCTTCCATCGGTGCCCTTTGGGCGGATCTCGCCTTCTCCTCTCGCCTTCCGTCCTACGCAACATTACAGGTTCCCCAAGGGAGCTTTCTGGGGGGGCCACCCCTCCACCCCACCCCCACTACAATCCAGGTAGGCTAAATAGGTAAAGGTAAAGGTGCTTCCCCACCCCGCAAGAGGCAACTGGACTTTCTGGGGGGGGGGGTTCTTTCTTTGAAGACATTTCGTTTTTTCCTTCGGAGCCGAAGAAGCTTCTTGGATGAGAAGCGAAACATTTTCTTTCTTTTTCTTTTTTTGTAGTAATTTTTTTTTTATTTTTTAAACACACAAAGAAACATCCAATGCATCTTTTCTGAACAGAATATTGGATTCATACAGATTTTGGTTCATCTTTAACACAATTTTATATATAATTTTTCTCACCTCCTTTATTCTCTCTAATTCTAAGAAACCAGTATTACCCTTCCTCTTAACTTCGCATCCTAATATAGTTCAATTTTTCTTTTCCCTCCTTAAAATTTGAACCCCTAAAATTAAATTCATGTAACATATTACAATCCCCAGTTATTACCTTAAATTCTCTTATTCCAGTCACCAATGATTCTTTTATCAACTATTCCAAATAACACATTTCAACAATTAAAGATATTCAATAAAAAAAATCAATTAAGTATCAATCTTACTCCAGTACCTCTACATTTACATTCATATAACATAATATGCCACCCTGAGTCTCCGGAGAAAGGCGGCATATAAATTGAACTAATAATAATAAAATTCCTGCAGCCATTCTTCCTATGTTTTAATCTCCGGGGTTTTAAATCATCTTATTTGCTCTTCTCGGCACTTTTTCCAAAGTCTCAGCCTCATTTTTGTAACGTGGGGGGTACAAAACTGGATGCAGTAATATTCCAGGTGCGGCCTTACTAAGGCTTTACAAAGCGGTGCTAACTCTTCACCTGATTTTGATTCTATATTTGTTTATTTGATGTTTATTTATTTAGAATTCTCTGCCCACTTTGGCAGGATGGGTGCCGAACCACAAATCTACCCTTTAAAACACAAGAACTCTTGGGCTCTCAACGTTTCCGCTTGAATGCAGGGTTAATCTCTCTTGTGTAAATAGATAAGCGAATGGTTAAAACCGCTACCCTAAATGGCGGAAAGGCGAGAAATTGCAGATAAAAACATCGGGTCACGAAACGTTGTGGCGCACGTGGAAGTGTGCGGTGTAAACAAGCGACAAAGTTGCGTTCCCGAGGGAATTTTTTTCCCAGGTCTGTTGGAATATTTTCTTCCCCCTCGTTCTCCTGGGAGAAGCGCAGAGCAAGCCGAAACCCACGCGGAGGCCATAAAACGAAACCGCGTAGAATGAAATGAAAATAGAACTTAAAACCCCCTTATTTTTAAAATGGCAAATACGCATCGTTTCTTTCGTCTGGAAGGGGTTGAGCCTGGTTGCATAATTTCAGGGGTCTCGAAAGCGGGCATGGGTGCCACGTTCGGTGGCCTCTGACACGCAGGCGAGCAGGGATGAATTTCGCAGTTGTTCCCTTCTGCGTTTCAGCAGGGAGTATTCGGTGCGTGTGTCTCATTTTTGCACTCTGTGTACAGGCCGTCCTCAACTTACGACCACAAAAGTGTCTGTTGCGAAGCCAGACTGTTCTTAAGTGAGTTGTGCCCCATTTTACCCCCTTTCGTGCCACCGCCGTTAAAGTGAATCACTGCTGTTGTTAAATTAGTCACAGGGTCGTTAAGTGAATCCGGCACCCCCGTTGACTGTGCTCGTCCGAAGGTCGAGAAAAGGGGATCATGTGACACACCCACACACCCCGGGAGGCTGCGGCCATCGTAAATATGAGTTTTGCTCACGTGACTGCAGGCATGCCACAACGGTCGTAAGTGTGAAAAATTGCCATGTGTCACTTTTTTCAGGGCCTTTGTAACTTTGAGTGGTCACTAAATGAACTGTTGTAAGTCGAGGAGTACTTGTAAACCCCAAGTCCTTTTTTAACCGTCAGATATTTTTCTCAAAGATACTCTGTAAAAAGGGTCCCCGTACGAGAGGTCCGAGGTTCGATATCGCTTGCAATACCCCACCAGCTTTGGGTCCACGGAGGCTGCCAAAACGCCAAATGGCTTTGATGCTGGCAGGGCAGTGCCCAGCCCGGCCGCTCGCGTTCCACATCATTTTTTTGCCAACGGATCTTCTCTCTTTTCCAGAACCTGAAAAACCTCCGATTCTCGTCCGCCCGGTGAAGAAAGTGTATCCCCAAAAGCCATCGATACAATACTCCGACGATGATCCCCCGCGACGGCGGCGCCGACGAAGCCGATCGCCCCAACGGCGCTGTCTCCAGTGTACCCTGGAGCCGCTCAAGTTGACCATGAACTTAGAAAACAGGCACTTCCGATGCAGGGAACACTGTCATCACCGACACTTGTACCCCGATTATCTGCCGTGCAGCTTGCCCTGTTATTACAACTGCGAATGTGACAACCGACCCCGACCCCGGCCCCGCACCTCCTCGGCCCCCTCAGCCTACCCCAACCCCCATTTCCGAGATGTCGCCGTGGGGACTTCCGACCTGGTTGTTAATGTCCCTACCGAGGAACGCCGGAACACCATCACGGCCACAGAACCGTACGTACGGACCCCGGTGGCGGAACCTCAGCGTCGTTCCATAGCCAGCGGCCAGGAGGCGGAATATCTACCAACCGGACAGCACTCCCGGCGTCCTGCCCGAGTGTACATCTACCCCGTCCACCCTCAGACCCCACCGGGGAGTCGGTCACCGACTCCTGAAAGGGGGCGCCGGCGTCGGACCCTCAGCCAGGACGAACAGGCGGAATTAGAGGCGCGTGAGCAGCGCCGAGGACGGGAATCGGAGACACCGGCCCCTGCGACGCAGCAGCTGCAGGTCTCTGCCGGGAGTCCTCCCCGGTTCCATAACATAGTCAACACCATCATGCAAGCAGGGACCACGCCAACTGAAGGCGGGGCAGCCAACACAAAGAGGCCGTCCCGGGCCGAGACCCCGCCATCCGATTGGGTGTACCGCTCCAAGTAAACCCTCAAGTGCAAAGCAGGGTGGAGAAGGAGGAGGAGGAGAAGGACAGACCCGTAGCTGTCCACAGTGGGTCCATGTTGGCTTGGGGAACAAACATTAAAGGCAAATCCATCCATCCCATAAATTCCGTGGCGTGCTGCTTACGTGTTCTGGGGTCTTTGCAAACACTTTCTTTTTAAAGTGTCTCAACCAACGATCTTGGGGGGTGGGAGGGCAATTTGTGGACACCCCCTCCAAAAAACTCCATTTCTCACCCACAGAAGTTTGTTCACCTACCCCCATCCAGGGCCAGAAAGGTCCTGCCCGCCTGCCTGATTTTTGGCGGGTGGGGTGGGAGAAACAACCGGAGGGCCGCTGATTGCAACTCATCAGGAAATTAAATGCTATTATGCAAATGAGGAGCCACGGTCTCTCCCCCCCCCCTTTGACAGCTGTCAATCAGCGTCTTCCCAAGGACAGAATGTTTTTGCTGTCATCAGCACGGCGGCCCTGATGCTAATGATTTTTATCTGCCTTTCAACCTGAGCATAATTTCCGCAGACCTCTAAGGGCATCGTTTACATTTTGATGCGCTGTTTGGATAACCCGAGAAAGTTACAGAATAACAGAGGCCTTCCTCTGGAGGTCTTGGAGGACTAGAAGACCTCCAAGGTCAAAGGGACCTTAGAGGTCTTCTAGTCCAACCCCCTACTCAAACGGAAGACTCTAAACCAGTCATGGCTAACCTTTTTGCCGTCGCGTGCCAAAAACAGGGGGGAGTGCAGGGGGGTTGCGCGCGTGTGTGCCCACACTCATAATTCAATGCCCCCCACGCCCCTTGTGCATGCACGCGCAACCCCCCCACGCTCCTCCCACTTTTGGCACGCGACGGCAAAAAGGTTACCGGTGGGCCTGGTAGGCCTGGTTTTCACCCTCCCCAGGCTCCAGAGGCTTTTTTGGAGCCTGGGGAGGGTGAAAACAGCCTTGCCCCACTTCCCCAGAGGCCAAAAACAGCCCCTTTCCCGACTTCCGGTGGGACCGGAAGGCCCGAAAATCAGCTGGCCGGCACGCGCATGCACACTGGAGCTGAGTTGCGTGCCCACAAATACGGCTCCATGTGCCGTCTGTGGCACGCGTGCTATAGGTTCGCCATCACGGCCCTAGGCCATTTCAGACAAAAAACATCTGAACGGCATGTCCTCCAAACCATGGGTTACTTAATCAGGGGCACAAGGCACCAGATTCAGGCAACATACGGTACTAAACCCTGAATGGTGGTTTGTAAGGCCTAGGTTCACAGAACATGCAATTGCAGACAAACGAGTGCGGAGAGCTTGTCCGCAAGGAAGCCATATGGGAGAAGGGCAGTCCTCGATTTACGACCCACAAACTTAAGACCAGGATTTCCACTGCTAAACAAGACGGTTGTTAAGTATGCGAGTGTGTATTTTGTACGGTGTTCACACAATACAGCCTTAATGCTGCCCTGAGTCTTCGGAGAGGGGCGGCATACAAATTGAATTAATAAATTAATTAATTAATTAATAAATGCGTTGACCGTCACAAAACCAGCACCTAAAATGTTTATCGAACTATAAAACATCAAAAGCAGCAGATTATTTTAAAATAATTCCTTCGGTTGAGTCCCGCCCACTTTTACAACCTTTTGGGCCATGGTTGTTAAGTGAAGCGCTACAGCGGTTAAGCGAATCACACGGTCGTTAAACGAATCCAGCTTTCTCCCCCCTTCCCCCCCCACCCTTGACTTCGCTGGCTGGGATGGACGGCAAAACCGGCAGGTCATGTGACCCGCGACACTGCAATTGTCGTCGATCCGTGCCTGACGTTTGACTGCAAGACGTCGTAGGGATGATGCAATGGTCATAAGTGCGAGGACCGGTTGTAAGTCACTGGTTTTCAGTGTCATCGTAACATGGAATGGCTATTTATGTCCTCTGGCCTGGACTGATGGGGTACTATATTTTAAATTTAAAAAAAAAAAAAACTTTCTTGATTTTTTATGTATATTCGTTGTTTTTAACAGTAGCTTGGTCGACTGTCGTTGTGAGCCGCCCTTGGAGTCCTTGAAGATAGGGTGGCATACAAATTTTATAAAATAAATAATAAATAAATAAATAAATAAATAAATGGTTTAAAGTCAAGAACTACTTGTACAGCGGAATTTCTCCATCTTGGCCACTTGAAGGGGTGTGGACTTCAACTCCCAGAATTCCCTAGCTCCGAGCTGGGGAATTCTGGGATTTTTTATTTATTTTTTTTGCTTTAATTTATATGCCGCCCTTCTCCGGAGACTCAGGGCGGCTTACAAGGCATTAAGCAAGAGCCTTCATATTTTTGTATATTTATACAAAGTCAGTTTATTGCCCCCACAAACCGGGTCCTCAATTTACCTACCTTAGAAAGGATGGAAGGCTGAGTCAACCTTGAGCCTGGTGAGATTCGAACTCGCAATAATTGCAAGCAGCAGATGTTAATCTGTTAATAACAGTGCTTTAGTCCACTGTACTACAGGCTCTTGTAGTCCAAACCTCTTCAAGTGGCCAAGATGGAAAAATATTGCTGTACAGTAACTTCCAAGTCAGCCCCTCCCCATCGGATTTCTTAGGAGGGGCCCCTCACCCTGGATAAAGACCCCCTCCAGCCCCCCCTCCTTCGTAGCTTGTCCCCCACCCCATGACTTCAAGGCCCCCCTTGCAACGGGTTGAACTGACCCTTCCCCACCATCTATCTATAGCTCCTGGCTGAGGATCAACAGAACTTGGAAGGGACCTTGTAGGTCATCTAGTCCAACCCCCCCCAACCCCACCCAAACAGGAGACCCTACACCATTTTTTTACAAATGACAGTCCAGATTATGGGGGGCAAGGAATCCAGCACGCGGGGAAAGCCTGAGCCAGGCGATCGGCTGTCAGCTGCGAGTTTTGGATCCGCGCACGTGTTCAGACGATCCGAGGCTGGGAGCGGGTCCAGAAGGGGCTTTTAAAAAGGAGTCTAATTCCCCCCAAAAGCGCAACTCCAGGGATCTTTGGGGGGGGGGGGGGTTCCAGTTATTTGCAAATTCCCCGGAGGGCGGAGAAAGAAACTTTCCCGAACGTGGGAATGCTGCAAAGGGGAGGGGGCATTTACTGGGTATATTGGGGGAGGGTCGTACTTTTTAGCCCCGCACTCTGTTTCTCCCATCCTCGCCCCCTCCCCCGTTTCTGGGGAGGGGGGGCTTTTCCCCAAAAGTAGAGAGAGGGCTAGCTGCCCCTCCCACCATGCTTTAAGACCCCTCCTCCCCGTTTCGGGGGGGGGGCTTTCCCCCAACATGCTTTAAGAGTGGGGGGGGGAGGGATGAGGTTTCTGGAACTATATCTCCCAGGGTTCCTGGCGGGAGCCGCCCTCGGTGGGTGGGGCTTCAGGCTCAGCCAGGTAGATGCACACAGGTGAGCGGGATGTTGCACCGGGGCGGCAAGGAAGGAGTGGAGAGGGGTCGCTTCTTCCCCTTTCAGGACCTTGGGGGTGGGGGAGGGGGAGGAGGAGGAGATGGGGCGCCCCAGAAGGTCATGGGGGGGAAGGGGAGGCTGCACCTGTCCTAACCCGGATGCTCCGGGCCACACCTGTGGGCGTGTCCCCGGTCCTTCCTTCAACCTTCTCAGCTTCCTGGTGAAGCTGGGCAATCCGGGGTCTCCTGGTGGTCTCCCATCCCAAGACCCTGATTACCTTCTGTATTCCAGTGGGGTGGGGGGCAGTAGAGTAAAATAGAATAGAATAGAGCCGGAAGGGACTTTGGAGGTCTTCTAGTCCAGCCCCCTGCTCAAGCAGGATGATTAGATTAGATTAGATTAGATTAGATTGATTAGATTAGATTAGATTAGATTAGATTAGATTAGATTAGATTAGATTAAACAGAGTTGGAAGGGACCTTGTAGGTCATCTAGTCCAACCCCCCCGACCTCTTTTGACTAACTTTTCCTTCGGCAAGGAAGGTGCTTTGAGAGACCCGTCGGGGATGGCATCTCCTGCCGAAGACCCCCCGCCCAAGCCGGCCCCCGCCAAGCCCCTCACGGACCTGGACTTCCATTCCGGGGTGCAGATCGCGGAGCTCAACCAACTCATCCAGGAGTACCAAGCCCGGACCCCCGAAGGCAGGGAAGACCCCGAATTGTTCCAAGCCAAAGATCTGGTTTTCTCGCTGCTGGGTGAGTTGTGGGTGGGTGGGGGTCACAGAGGCAGAGAAAGCAACCCCCCTTCCCCCAAAAGCCCCTTCTAGTTAAGGGAGTTTTGCCCCGTTTTACGAACTTTTTTGCCACTGTTGTTAAGTGAATCACTGCAGGTGTTAAGTGAGTCACATGGTTGTTACGTGACTCTGGCTTCCCCATTGACTTTGCTTATTAGAAGGTCGCAAAATGGGGATCATGTGACCCCTGGGACGCTGCGACAGTCATAAATGTGGGTCAGTTGCCAAGCGGCTGAATTTCGATCACGTGACCCTGGGGAAATGCTGCAACGGTCGTAAGTGTGAAACGTGGTCATAAGTCCCTTTTTTTCCAGTGCCGTTTTCCAGTCACTAAGTGAGCTGTTGTAAGTCAAGGGCTACCTGTATCTTCTTGGTACAGGTAGAAGACTTGTCCCAGTAAAGCTAGTTCTCAACTGACAACCATTCATTTAGTGACCGTTCAAAGTTGCAACGACACTGAAAAAAGGGACTTAGGCAGTGGTGGGATTCACTGTTTGTAACAACCTATTCGCTTCGCTGCCCTCCAGAGGCAGGAAATGGGCCTGTTTCCGGACTTCCGATACTTCCAATAGGCCATTTTTCCGTTTTTCGCCCTCCCCAGGCTCCAGAGGCTTTTCTGGAGCCTCCAGACCTGTTTCCGGACTTCCGGTAGGCCCGTTTTTCACCCTCCCTGAACCTCCGTGTGCGTCCTTACCTGGCATCCAAAACGGGCCGCGTGGAGATGCCTGGGAGGGGCGAGGAGAGGTGGGCGGGGTCAGCCAGTTCTTGGAACAACCGGTTCGGCGAACCAGATTAAAATTAACATCCGGTTCGCCTGATCCGGTGCGAACCGGCTGAATCCCACCTCTGGATTTAGGACTGGTTTTCAGACTTTCAGAACGTTGCAGTATTCCTACGATCACATGATCAAAATTCAGATCCTTGACAACTGACTCGTATTTATGACCGTTGTGGTGTCCCTGGATCAGGTGATTCCCTTTTGCGACCTTCGGACAAGCTGTGCACCGCCCTGAGTCCAGCAGGAGAAGGGCGGTATAAAAATGTAATAAAATAAATAAAATAAAATAAATAAAAGTCAACCTGGGGGGGGGAGGGGAGCTGGATTCGCTTAACAACCATGTGACTCACTTAACAACTGCAGGGATTCACTCCCTTGACATCCAAACATTCTCATAACAGAGAAAGACGCAGAAGAAAAAGAAGAGATTCGTGTAACGAAGGTCGTAAAACAGGGCAAAACTCACTTAACAAGTATCGCGCTTTACAGCAGACTTGTTGGGTTCAACTGTGGCCGTACGTCGAGGACTAGCTGTATTTGCAAATTTAGATTTAGTAAATTCGGTTCTCCCTCATGTAAAAGGAGGAAATGCAGAACCTGGGAGAGTGGAGTCAAGCAAGGGATCAGCCTGGAATCCCTACGTAGCCACAAGTGAACTAAGTACATGTAGTTCTCGACTTACAACCGTTCGCTTAGTGATCATTTGAAGTTACAACAGAACCGGAAAAAGTGACATGAGTATTTTTCACACTTATGACCACTGCGGCATCCCCACGGTCATATGATTTACATTCAGATGATTGACAACTGATTCACATTTATGACGGTTGCCGTGTCCTGGGGTCATGTGATCACCTTCTAACAAGCAATGGAGAAGTCAGATTCAGTTAACAACCGTGTTACTAAATTAACAGCTGCAGCGATTCACTTAGCGAACGTGGCAAGAAACGTCGTAAAATGGGGCAAGACTCACTTTGCATATTTCTCGCTTAACAACATAAATTTTGGGCTCAATTGTCGAAAGTTGAGGAACACCTGTACAACTCCCCCTTGAATTCCGTGGACCCTAATCTAACTATCTGGTAGGTGCCAACCATTAGCTGGGAAGATTCAAAGGCTTTCAGCGATAAAGCAGTTTAGTTAGAAGATTCCTGCGCAGAGGCTTTCAGCAATAAAGCAAATTAATTGGATTTTCACATGTGGACGAGGTCTCTCACCCCCTGCCTTGTTCTCCCCACAGGCCAGGTCCAACAATCCGATGGAAAATTGCCCCCGGTCAACCGCTACCTTCTTCTCTCCGGTGGGACCCAGCAGGGCACAGTCCACGTGGATGATACCAACCTGTGGCCTCTTTCTCCCGGCGGCGACTACGATACCAGTTTCACACTCCTGGTGCCAGTTCTGAACGTGGCCGGCGTGCCCGTCACGTTGGATATGACGCAGAGCCCCCCTGGACATACCCGGATCAGCCTCGAGCCTTTCGATGCCCCCACCCTGCAACGCTGGTCCGAGTGCAGCTCCGGGGATGAGACGTTCCTCTCTGCAGAGCTGGTGTCTGAGTGGTTTTTCCGGGCGTTTTCCGCAGTGGCCAAAGATTTCCGCGTTGAACTTCGAGGACGCGTCACCTCCGTGATCGTCTGCGTCGGATCCTACCGTGTCCTCTATGACATCATCCCTGTAGTGGCCTTTCGGGGGTGGCCCGAGGTGGTCCGGCCGTGGCTGAGCCAGGGACATTTCTGGGACGGTAAATTGAGGGACGAAGACGTGACCACCGGCTTCTATCTCTTCCCGTCCACTTCTGGCTCAGATTGGTACCTCGCCTTCTCGGCTAGCGAGCTGCACTTGAGGCGCATCTTTCCTCTGCCACTGTTGTGGTCCCTGCGAGCCACCACGGCCGCCCTCCCCTGGGGTGACCTGCAAGGCCTGGGGCCGTATCACCTCTTCACGCTGGCCTTGTGGTCCTGTGAACGGCTACCGAGCCGCTACCTGGCCGAGGAGGAGAATGCAGCGCCCGCCCTCCTAGGTGTGCTGGACGATCTGTCGGCCAGCCTGGCCGAAGGACACCTCCCCAATTATTTCCTGCCCGAGTGGAATCTCCTGCATGGCTTATCCCCTCAGGCCACGAGGATCCTGGCGCGGGCCGTAGCCCAGGTGAGGGCCAACCCCTCCAAGTATCTTCGCCAGGCTGTGGAAGGGGCCAAGGAAGCTAAACGGCGGGCCAAGGCATATCGGCGCCAGCTGATGACCCCTACAGAGCCCTAACCGTGGGGCTGCTTCAGCAGGGACCGGATCCTGAACGAGCTCACCTTGTGTTCTTCGGGTAGAAGGGGGACCCATTCAGGAGGGCTGGGTGGATGCGTGCCAGGGCCACGGTGCCAGCCTTCAACACAGGACAGCCCCCCCAACTGGATCACCTCTGAGAATATCTCAGAAGGCAACCTCCAGATGGCTGGTGGCTGATGGGCCGGTGGTCCTCGACCTACGACCACAATTCGTAAGCCCTAAAAATTCGAGACAATTTTCGCGTAGGTTTTACCCTATTTTACAATATTTCTTGCCAAAGTTGTAAAGTGAACCACTGCCCTGCTTAACTCAGTAAGACAGTCGTTAAGCGAATCCGGCTTCCCCATCGATGTTGCTCGTCAGAAGGTCGCCAAAGGGGATCACATGACACCCTCCCCAGGACACCGCGACCGTCTATAAGTACGAGTCAGTTGCCAAGTATTTTGTATACTTGGTATTTTGTATTTATACAAAATTGTATAACTCTGTATTTTGATCATGTGACCACGGGGATACCACAATGGTCGTAAGTGTGAAAAACGGTCCTAAGTCACAATTATCAGTGCCGTTGTCACTTCAAACGGTCACTAAACGAACGGTTGTAAGTCGAGGACTAAATGTGAGAGCGCTATAGTCTTATTTCCAATGCAAATCTTTTTTTTAACGAGCGCTACCTATCTAGTCACTAAATATTTTAAATATTTTCAAAACAGAAAATTATTTTTCTTTCTTAAAAGTAAAATAAATCTTATCCAGCTTGGAAAAGAGCCTTTTGTGAATTCTTGGGATAAATTATATTTTGAATGAATCTTTGTCAAAATCCGGAATAAAGATTTATTTGCCACGAAATGTGTTGGTGTGGGTCATTTCATGGGAAAGGCTCCCAGGAAGGGGGCAGGAGAGGTGAAAAGGGGGCAAGGCACTATTAAGTAATGGCCCCTTTAAGAGATGTGGACTTCAACGCCCAGAATTCCTTGGCACAAATGCATTGCTGTGGATGTAGATACCCATTGTGGCCTGCTTACTCTCTTATAATCCCTTCCTCTGCAATCTCTCCCCTCCAGGCAGTAGTAGGGAGAAGAGGAAAAAAACAGGCCCAGCTGGCTGAGGAATTCTGGGAGTTGAAGTCCACACCTCTTAAAGGGACCAAGCTTGAGAAATACTGCCCTAAAAAGTCATCCCTGGCCTTACTCCCTGCATCTGAAACACCCCACGGATTCCGCTTGTAGGGTTTAACGTATTGTGTGAACTCACACAGGGTCACGTCCTGAATTCCGACTCAAGACTGCTTGGAGGACTCGTCACAATTCTCTTGAGATCTCTTCTCATCTTTGGGGGAGGAAGAAAAGTTTTGTTTTTTATAGGTGGTCCTCGACTTAACGACCACAAACGGGGCCCAAAGTTTCCGTGGCTAAGTAAAACCAGCGGTTTGAGTGAGTTTTGCACCGGGTTTACGCCCTTCCTCGCCACTGTCGTTAAATGAGTCATGGACATTGTTGGTAAGTCACAGGGTCGTTAAGCGAATCTGGCTTCCCTGTTGATTTTGCTTTGTACAGTGGTCGCAAAAGGGAATTGTAACCCTGAGATGCTGTGACTGTCATAAATAGGAACCAATTTGCCAAGCGTCGGAATTTGGATCGCGAGACCATGGGGATGCTGCAACGGTCGTTAAGTGTGAAAAAAAGGTCATTGTTTCAGGGCCGTTGCAAGTTCAAATGGTCAGTAAATGAATTATTGTAAATGGAGGACCCCCTGTATGCTGCCTTTCCTCTGCCGTCCACCAGGGGGCGCTGAAAGCTCATTTTAACTAACTTAATCCCCTTTAATTGTGCAAAATGAATTGGAAACTGGGCTGGGAGTGATAAAACTTCGGGCCCCGCCCTCACCTTGGCTTCTGCAGCCACATACACACCCTGTTGTGCAGTTGTGGGTTTTTTGACAAAGCCGAAGAAGAAGTGCCTGGCTCGGAACCAGGCAAACCTCCGGGCGGCTTCGGAAGTGAAATTTGATTGCTGGATGTGCTGGAAAGAAAGACCAAGAGTAGGACTTGGGGGGGGGCACTGGGGAGGAGCCCCTCTGCAGCCCCAGAGTCTCCCTGGGTGACCTGGTGCCTGTGCGGCCTCCCTCGCAGGGTGGTTGTGGGGAGAGGAAAGAAGGGAGCAAGGAGCCTTGAGTTCTTGGAGGAAAGAGAAGGAAGGGAAGAAAAAAGGGAGGGAAGAAGGAAAGGAAACAAAGAAGGAGAGAGAGAAAAGGAAGAATGGGAGGGAGGGAGAGAGAGGAAGGGATAAAAGGGAGGAAGGAAGGAAGGAAGAAGGAAGGAAGGAAGGAAAGATGAGAAGGAAGGAAGGAAAGGGAGTGAGAGACAGAGGAAAAGAAGGAAATAATGGAAGGAGAGAGGGAAAGAAGGAAGGAAAGGGAAGGAGGGAGGGAGAGGAAGGAAGGAAGGATAGGAGGGAGGGAGAAGGAAAGGAAGGAAAGAAAAAAGGGAGGGAGGGAAGAAAGAAAGGAAACAAAGGAGAGAGAAAAGGAAGGATAGAAGGGAGGGAGGAAGGAAGGAAGGAAAGAAAGATGAAAAGGAAGGAAGGGGAGAGAGAGACAGAGGAAAGGAAATAAAGAACAGAAGGACGGAGGGAGGGAAGGAAAGAAAATAGGGAGGGAGAGGAAGGAAGGAAGGAAGAAGGGAGGGAGGGAAGAAGGAAAGGAAACAAAAAAGGAGAGGGAGAAAAGGAAGGATAGAAAGGGAAGGGAGGGAGAAGAAGGAAGGAAGGATAGAAAAGAGGGAGGGAAAAAGAAAAGAAGGAAGGAAAGAAAGGGAGTGAGAGACAGAGGAAAAGAAGGAAAGAACGGAAGGATGGAGGGAAGGAAGGAAAATAGGGAGGGAGGGAGAGGAAGGAAGGATAGAAAGGAGGAGGGAGAAGGAAAAAAGGAAGGAGGGAAGGAAAGAAAGGGAGTGAGAGACAGAGGAAAGGAAGGAAAGAACGGAAGGATGGAGGGAAGGAAGGAAAAAGGGAGGGAGGGAGAGGAAGGAAAGATAGAAAGGAGAGCGGGAGAAGGAAAGACGGAAGGAAGGAAGGAAAGGGAGTGAGAGACAGAGGAAAGGAAGGAAAGAACGGAAGGACGGAGGAAGGGGACGAAGGAAGGAAAATAGGAAGGGAGGGAGGGAGGGAGGTCAATTGTGGTCATAACCCAAGGACTCATCTCACACACACACACACACCCATCAGCAAGAAGAAGAGCAGAAGTGGTTGCTTCTCTCCCCCCATCCAGACCCATCCTCCACAGCCTGGAGGTGGCCCTGGCAGCCACGCTGGGCTGCAAGGCAATCAGCAAATGGGTTTGGAGAGGGCAGGCCTGGCAACGCGCCCCCTCCTTTCCTTCCGAGCGGGTGCCAACCGGGAACGGCTCTTTCGCTAATGGGGTCGCTCTGCAGAGCTGGGGTGAGAAGAACCCCGGCCAAGGTCTCTTGGGGAGGCTCCCCAGCCCCCGGCTGCGACTCTCACGCCAGGCCCAGCTCAAGGGTTTCTTTGGAGAAGAGGGCCTCTGAGCATGTTGGACAGCCTCGACCGGACGTTCAGGCTTGGAAGCGCTCTGCGTATGCTCAGGGGACTTAGCTCCGAGGAGCCAGCACCCTGCTTTTCAAATTTGGCCCCTTGAAGATGCGTGGACTGCAATTCCCAGAATTCCCCAGCTGGTTAGGGAATTCTGGGAGTTGAAGTCCAACCGTCTTAAAGTCAGTTGGGGAACTCTGGGAGTTGAAGTCTATCCACCTTAAAGTTGGTTGGGGAATTCTGGGAGTTGAAGTCCAACCGTCTTAAAGTTGGAGAAACACTGTACTAGGTAATCCTTCCGGTCCCTCCCAACTCTATGATTCCTAGCTGGCTGGGGAATTCTGGGAGTTGAAGTCCAACCACCTTCAAGGGCCCAACTTTGAAAAACACAGATCAAATTTAGCAGAAACTGTCCCTTGCTCCATGGGGAAGTGTGCCAGCCATGTGCCCTGTTGCACACAAGCGTGCCCCCCTCATTGCTCACTCACCCACCTACCCAGCCCCACTGCAAATCAGGGGTCCTTCTGAACCTGCGAACGGGCCCCCAGGGGCCCAAGGCAGTTTAGACTGGAGCATTGTTGGCTGCAGTTTCTGGGGACGTGGGGAGGGGTTTTTTCTGGAAGATGGGTACGGGGGCAAGACTGAGTCAAGGCAGGTGAGCCCCCAATTGCCCTCCCCTTCTCTGGGCTTGGGGAGGGGGCAAAACTACGCACAGGTCCTCTGTACAACTGATTCGTTTAGTGACCATTCCAAAGTTGCAACAGCACTGAAACCAGTGACTTCTTCTGGCCGCGTTCCGCACTTACGACCATTGCCCTTCTCAATTGGGCCCTGAAGACTGTCTCCTCCAGAGGGTGCCCTTTGCCACTCTTACCACCCAATAGCAGGCAGGGGGCTTTCCTGCACCTTTCTCCGTCCTCCCCTTTTCCCACGACCGACCCTCCCTCCCCCCCCTCCGTCCCTTCAGAAGAGTTTTCCAATACGGGGAGCGAGGAGACCCCCCCGGGACTCTTCTCTCTCCCCCCCACCCCCCACTCTCAATTCCACAGTGACTCATTGATTTCTCTGGAATTTCACCCCGCTTGGAAACATCCTGCCCGCCCCTCACCCCTCACCCCCGGCCCTTTGATCTCAATTTTGGGGTGTCCTCAGTACCCCACCATCACCCCGGGCGGCCCCAACTCGCCTCCTGAAGGTTTCCCCTGTGCCTGCTGTGTGTTTATGTGTGTTACCAAATATAATAATAATAATAATAATAATAATAATAATAATAATAATAATAATAATTTTATTTACATACCGCCCTCCTCCCGAAAGACTCGGGGCGGTGTACAGCCAAAATTTTAAAAAAACATAAATATACCATTTCATAGTTAAAATTAATTAAAATCATTAAATAGTTTTGGCCGAATTTTAAAACCCAAAGTTAAAACCCAATTTAAAATCATTCAATCATTCAATTAGACAGCATCTATACATCTAGATTTTGCACAAGTGATTTTATATACGCGCGATGGGGGTCTCTGCTGAATCCTTCCACCCCCCACCCCTTCCCCAGATCGGTGCAGAAAAATTGGGGGCATCGCTTTTCTCTGGGAGGGGAGGCTATGCCTCTGCCCCATATGTTCCTCCCCCCCAAAAAAAGAGGACCCCTGGCAGGGCGGGGGCAGCCACCATCACTATCACACCCAGCTCATCCCACCCCACGGATTTCCCATCTCCGGCTGAAATCCTTTCGGCTTTCTCTCCTCGCGCGCGGGGCGTGGGGCGGCTTTCCGATGGGGCAGCGCCTCCCCGCCCCACCGGCTTTGTCACTGGCGTGTGACAGGAGTCCTTCTTCTCCTTTCCTCGCCCCCCCTTCCCTTCCCTTCCCTTCCCTCCCTCCCTCCCTCCCTCCCTCGCAGCTGCTCCTTGGCTCGCTGGCTGGCAACCCAGCCGGAGCTGCCCACCCGCGCCTCCTGGCACACCCAGTTTGGCGAGGGTCCCTCCCTGCCCACCGCGCCTCTCCTTCGCTCGCTCGCTCCCCTGCCTCCCCCCCCCCCCCCCACCCCCCCCCCCCCCCCCTCCCCGCGGCTCAGCCCCTCTGAAGGACACGCCAGGGTCTCCGGCTTGGCCTCCTACCCTGCGCAGCGCAGCGGACGCCGCATGGATGGAGGGCAGGCGAGGCGCCTTCTTCTGCTGCTGCTCCTCCGCCGGGTTTAAACCGAGAGGCGGCAGCCGGTTTGGGCGGCTCGGGGAGCTGGGCCGGATCGCGGGAGGAAGGAGGAAGGAAACGGGGAGCAACGGCCCCCAGGCGCCCCTCTAAACCCGGCTTCGGGGGCACCTGCGCTCGTCTGCCCGACTTTCCCGCAGGCGCGCGGAAAAGGAAAAAAAAGGGGGTGATCCTTCGTGCTGCCCCCCCGACAGGCTGATGGGGACCCCACCTCCTCTCCGGCCCCCCGACTTTCCTGGAGCTCGGTAGCTGAGAGAGGCGAGGAAGAGGAGGAGGAGGAGGAAGAGGAGGAAAGGAGGAGGAGGGTCACCCTTTCCTTGACCCGCGAGGTTGCCAGCGTCCCCCAGCCCCGCTCCCTCTCCGCCGCCCCCCAGCCCCTCCGGATGGGGCAGGCATGGCCGCGTTAGCCAGCTCCTTGATCCGGCAGAAACGGGAGATCCGCGATCCGGTGGCCAGCCGCCCCATCTCCACCCAGCGGAAGGTCTGCCCGCGAGGGACCAAATCCTTATGCCAGAAACAGCTTTTAATCCTAATCTCCAAAGTCCGGCTGTGCGGGGGTAGAAAAGGCCGGCTGGAGAAGCCCCCAGGTAAGTGGACTTGGGTGGGGAGGGGAGGGGAGGGGAGGGCGGGCGGATGCCCCCTTCTCTGAAGGGGCAAAAGGGAGGGGTCCCAACTGGGTTGATGGCCCCGGGGGTGCCAGGCTCTGCTTTGGATGAGGGCACCCCTTTATTCCCCCGGGGGATTGTGAGGATGTGGTCAGGATGGGCTCCATCCTTTTGATGGTTCAAGGTGGATTCTGCTTTTCCCAGGGGACCACCAGCAGGAGGCGCTGTCCACGGTGGAGAGAAAGCTGGGCTGTTTCCCCCATTGGCGCTTCCAAGGGTCACCTGCAGGGGGCGCTCGACCGAGTTGGTGTAAAAGGAGTAACTAAGAGGAGGGGTGGTGGAGTTGGGGCACCGTTGCTTGCGTGTGGAGGGGCGCGTAAAAAGCTGGGGTGCGGTTGCGGATTGTGGTGGACGAGGGTCTTTAAGGACGCCTTGTTATGCGACGGGGATCCGGTACGTCGCAAACTGGGTGCCAAAACTGGGCGCAGTACAAAGTTTTCTTATGGAGGAGGGGTCCGCAGTGCCCCCTGTTGGCTGAGTGACTTTTTTGCAAAGAGAGTTGTGTGTGGAAAAGCCAACCGAAATATTGGGGGGTCGGTCTGAGATTCGAGTCTCGACAAACTCGGCAAAAATTCAGAAGTGGGGCGCTTCGTACGGGATGATTTAAAATGGGGAGGGGGTCCCCCTCAGGCTTTGCAGCCGACTCCCAGTTTGTGGGGGGGAAAGCCCCTTCTGGTGAACGTGGTTGAGAGGTGACACTTGTTCTCTGCAAAACTGCCGTGGGGGGAAAAAAACATGGATTTGGATCCAGGTAGTCCTTGACTTACGACCGTTCATTTAGTGACCATTCGCATTTAGTGACCATTTGCAGTTGCAACGGCGCTGAACAACGTGACTGATGACTGTTTTTTTCACACTTACATCCGTTGCCGCCATCCCCGTGGTCAGATGATCGAAATTCGGACACTTAGTAACCGACTCATACATAACGACGGTGGCAGCATCCCTGGGGGGGTTTGGGTGTCACATGATCCCCTCTTGAGACTTTCTGATGAGCAAAGTCCATAGGGGAGGTGGATTCACTTAATGACCGTGTGATTCACTTAATAACGGTGGTGCAAAAGGTCATAAAACGGGACCCAGTTCGTTAAAGAAATGTTTCACGGAGCCACAAAAAATGGTGGTCGTAAGTCGGGGCACGGCCTGCATTTTGGTGTCATCGTTCGGCGGGCTTTGATGCTGCCATCCGGGAGACTCGGAGGTTGGCATTTTCCACCGGTCCTTCTTTCGAGGGTTGATGGGCACGTGCGCCCCTGGGAGTGGGGGAGACGGGTGAGTGGGTGTGCATTCACACCCGTTGTGGGAGATCGCACTCCCACGGAAAGGTGCAAATGGCACGCGCGCAGCAGGTAAGGCCCCGTTTGGAGCAAAGGCTGGCAGGAGACCAGGAGAGTCCAGAAGCCCCCTCCTGCCACGGTTGGGGGGGGTCTCTTTACTCATTTCAGGAAAAGGATAAAACGTTTGGATGGCCTCTGGGTTGCCTGACCAATCGCGGTTGGGCCCTTTCTCAGAATTAATTCCTTCCTTCCTTCCTCCCTCCCTCTCTTCCATCCTTCATTTTCTCTCTTTCCTTCTTCTTTCTTTCCTTCCTCCCTTCCTATTTCTTTCCTACTTCCTTCCTTCCTTTTTTCTTCCTTCCTATTTCCTCCCTCCCTCTTTTCTATCCTTCCTTTTCTCTCTTTCCTTCTTCTTTCTTTCCTTCCTCCCTTCCTATTCCCTTCCTACTTCCTTCCTTTTTCTTCCTTCCTATTTCCTCCCTCCCTCTTCCATCCTTCCCTTTCTCTCTCTTTCCTTCTTCTTTCTTTCCTTCCTCCCTCCCTTTCCTACTTCCTTTCTTCCTTCCTATTTCTTTCTTTTTCTGCCCCTTTTCTCTATCTCCTTTCTTCCTCCTTCTCTCTCTCCCTCCCTTTTTCCCTCCTTCCTATTTGCTCCATCCCTCCCTCCCTAGCTCGTGTCTATCCCCTTCCTTCCTTCCTTCCTTCCTCTCTCCCTCCCCTCCCTCCCTCCCCATTTCCTTTCTACTTCCTTCCTTCCTGTTTCCTTCTTTCCTGTTTCCTTATTTTTCTGCCCCTTTTCTCTACCTCCTTTCTTCCTCCTTCTCTGCCTCCCTCCCTCTTTCCCTCCTTCCTATTTCCTTCGTTCCTCCATCCCTCTTTTCTTCCCTCCCTTTCTCCCTTCCGGCTTGAGCTCCTGCTGTCTCCCTCGAGGCCTCCTCCTCCTCCTTCAGGCCGAGAGCCTGTTTGAGGGTCTACCCAGATGGCTCAGCAGAAAAAGGCCAAATAAATAAGCCTTAAATGATGGCAGGGGAGGAAGAAGGGAGGGGAGAAGGGGGGGGGCTTTCAGGTGTTGGAAGAGAGCGAGTTAGATCGGCTATTAATTTTAAAGGTCTCTGAAGGGAAGGCAGCCTCTGCCTCTCGCTCGGGGGCTTTTGGAGGCACTGCCATGACCCCAATCTGCTTCTCCTGGAGGGGGAGAGACCACCAAGAAAGCTGGTTAGCTGAGAGACACCCCCCCCCACTCTTCTCTGGGGCCCTGGCCTGTTTGCCAATGGGGCTGGGGCGGGGGAGAAGGATGGGGGGGGGGCTTCCCTTAGGACCCCAAGATTGTATTTCCTCTTAAGAGCTCGAGGTAAATCAGGAGTAACTTTAGGGATGGGTAAGAGCCCGGGGTCTCTGGGTGGGCAGTTGTGGCCCCTTTGGCCGGTCCTCAGTCAATGGGGGATTCTGAGTGGGAATCAGGCATGTGGGGGGAGGTCTCTTGAACATCTGGAAGGCTGGGTTGGAAAGAAGCAATAAAGGAGAATATTTGTAGCTCAGGGTTGAAATGAGGGCTCCTGGGTGGTCTCTGAGCTGTGTATTTTCTTGCAGACGTTTCATGACCCTACTAGGGAACATCATCAGTGCTAGGAGGGAGGGGAGTTTGTGGAGAGGAGGAGGAGGAGGACTGTAGGGTTTTTGGTGCTCTTTGAGATTGGTGGTTTTCTTGTAGACGTTTCATGACCCAGCTAGGGAACGTCATCAGAGCTAGTCTGGAAAAGGTGGAAAGATCCAGCTGCCGACTGAATCCAACTGGACTCTAAAGCAAAACAGGAAGTGGGAGCCCTTCCCCCCCCCAAATTTTAGAATCCAGGCCCCTGGGTGTTAATCGTACGTACGAAAGGGAGGTGGGGCACGGTTTCACAGTCGGTGAGGTAGAGTGGGGGGCACCCCACCCCCACCCACAGGGCATAACCCTGGGCCACGTCTCCCTTGAAGGGCCCACCCGTTGAGGGTTCAACCCTCCTTCCATCGCCACCCCAGGCAAGATTTCCCCCCAGGGATGATCTCCGAGTGGTCCCCTTTCCTTCAATCCCTGAGATGCTGCCTTTCAGATCCATGGCAAAGCATTTGGTCATTGGAAGACCCCCCAACCCAAGCACCAATGCAGGTTAAAAAAATCACCAATTGTTCTTTTGATTTGTGCCATGGTGGGCACCAGCTTGGCACCGCGATGGTAGCCTGGAGATGGGCATTAGCTTGGCTTCCTGCGGACACTCTTAGAGGGATCGAAGTGGGGTGCCCCTTCCCCAAGGAAAACCTACAGAGGAGACCCCCCTAAAGACCCTCTGGACAGGGTGGGAGTGGGGGGTTAAAGGGCAAGGGGCATCATCACCCCGCGATGACATCACTGCCGGCGCACTGGTCGTGCACCTTCAATGGGAAGGAGGGGGGGAAGAAGCTTAGAAAGAATCATAGGGGAACATTTTGAGCCGTTGCCCGACTCCATTTATCTCTCTTTCTTTCGTCTGCAACCCATTTTTAAAAACCTCTTTGCTTTCCTTTGCTTTTCTCCGCTGCCGTCAAATTTATTTCTCTTTGGGAGGAAATGGGGGGAGGGGAAAGTTTGGGGGGGTGGGATTCAGCCTCTGCTGCTAATGTACGCCCCCTCCCCAATTCACAGCAGCTCCGAACTCCCTCTTTTCTCCGGCCTATCCTTGCCATGCTGGTTGGGGTGGGGTGTGGGGGAAAATGGGGCATCAGGGAAAATGGGGCAGGGGGAGGCTTTAAATTGGGACCCCCGTTCCTGGCGGGAAGAAAGAAAGCGTTTGGGTTTTCCTGCGAGTAAATCGGGCCGCCGGGAAGGACCCCGAGCTCCTCCGATGCTTTTCACGATTTTTTCCCAATTCAGCCGAGTGAGTATCGGAAAGGGATTACGTAAGGAAGGGCGCTCTGGATTTAGCCGGCCTGTCAGCAGATAATCCCCCGATGCTGAACAGACCGGGATCAAACTAGGGTGTGAAGGGGAAAGGACAGTGGGGGGTGGGGGAAATGAAGGGTGAATTCAAATCTGGGCCACATCTGGCAGGGTGAAATCCCACCCTGAAGGACGAAGGGGCTGCGGCTCGAAAAATTGCTGCTTGCTCCATGCCCAGCGCCCGAGCGCGGGACCCCAAATGGAGGACAAGCTCCCCCTCCCCGAAGTGCCCACACTGGCCCCCTAGATGTAAGGCATTCCTCGGTGGCACAGAGAGTGTCTCCGTGGCCACTCACGTGGCCGTGGCAGGTGAGAATTTCCTTGCTCGGCCAGGCCGCCCCAGATGTGCTAAGCGGGGCATCTCCAGCGGTGCGTGGAGGGCAGGCCTTGGGAGGAAGGGGTGCCAAACGCTCGGTGCCAGCCCTCCGTGGCAATCCTGGCTCTGTCGGCGGAACAAGCGAGGGGGGGGGGACGGTGGACTTCGGGAAAGAGGTGAGCTGCCTTCCTCGCCTTTCTCAACAAGGACACATGGAGGGGAGCCGGAGGGGGGCAGGCAGAGACTGCTCGGCACTCCACGGCGCAGCCAGTGATCCGTGAGGGTTCCAGGCGACCGAAAACGAGCTGCCGGTGCCAGGCTGGGATGTCACCAGGGCCCCCCCACTGCAGCCTGTGCAAGGGGGTGGAAAGGA